AGATGTTAGCAGACAAGGAATTAAAAACAGCTATTATAAATATGTTAAATAATTTACAAGAAAAGATAAACAATTGGAGAATCTCTGCAGAGAAATAGAAACTATAAAAAAGAATAAAATTCAAATTCTATAAATGAAAAAATAACATCTGAAATGAAAAATTCATAGAATGAGTTTAATAGCAGACTGCATACAGCAGAAGAAAAGATCAACTTGATAGAAATGATCCAAACAGAAGCACTGAGAGAAAAAGATTAAAACGAAAACAGAACGCAGACTCTAAGACCTGTAGGATAATAGCAAGTAGTCTAACCCTCTATGTAATTAGAGCCTCAGAAAGAGAGGAGAGACACATGGGGGATAGAAAGTGTTTGAAGCGGTAATAACTAAAAAATTTCCAATAATGGGGAAATATATCAAACCACTTATAAAGATGCTCAGCAAACCCCATGCCACATAAATACAAAAAGGTCACATGTAGGTACATCACAGTCAAGTTGTTGAAAACCAAAATAATGAGGAAAACATTTAAAGCAGACAAGAAAAAAGACATATTTCTTTCAAAGGAACAATACTAAAATTGAAGGCTGTTTTAGACCACAGAAGCTAGAAAACAATAGAATGATACCTTTAAATGCTGAAGGAAAAAAAGTAAACCCCAAATTCTACACATAGTGGAAACATCTTTTTAAAATGAAGGAGAAATGGAGATATTTTTAAACAAACAAAAAGTATGAGAGGTCCTTGTCAGAAGACCTGCAGAAGAAATGCCAAAGGAAACTCTTCAAACTGAAAGAAAATGATCCCAGAGAGAAACTGGAATCTGAAGGAAGGAATAAAGAGCATACACCAGAAATGGTAAATATGTGAGTAAACACAAAGACTATTTTTTTCTTAATGTCTTTAAAAATCTACTGACTCATTAAGATAAAAATAAGTTTTAAAAGCCTTGTGTGTGGGGCCAGCCTGGTGGCGTAGCGGTGAAGTTCGCACACTCAGCTTCAGCGGCCCGGGGTTCATGGGTTCGGATCCCAGGTACAGACCAACACACCGTTCATCAAGCCATGCTGTGGCGGTGTCCCATACACAAAAGTAGAGGAAGATTGGCACAGATGTTAGCTCAGGGACAATCTTCCTGAAGCAAAAAGAGGAAGGCTGGCAATAGATGTGAGCTCAGGGCCAATCTTCCTCACCAAAAAAAAAAAAAAGGAAAAGCATTGTGTGGTTTACAAAATATATAGAAATAAGATATATAACAATAATATACAATGGGAGGGGCAAATGAATCATACTGTTGTAAGATTTATACATTTTAAGTGATGTGGCATATACTTAAAGTGGTTGTCATAAATTAAGATGTTTACTGTAATTTCTAAAGCAACCTCTTAAAAATCATACAATGGGGTATAGCTAAAAAGTTAATAGATAAAATAAAATTGAATACTAAAAATTACTTGATTATTCCAAAAGAAAGGAGAGAAGAAGAAATAAAGAAAGAGAAAACAGCTAAGACAAATGGAAAATAAATAACAAGATGGCAGAATTAACCCCAAACATATCGTTACATTAAATACAAATAACTAAACAATCCAATTAAAAGGCAGAGATTGTTGGTCTGGATTTAAAAACAGACAGAATCACGGGCCACGCTCATCGCCTAGTGGTTAAGTTTGGCGTGCTCCTCTTCAGTGGCCCGGATTTGGTTCTCAGGCACGGACCTATAACACTCATAATGGCCATGCTGTGGTGGCAGCTCACATACAAAATAGAGGAAGATTGGCAACAGATGTTAGCTCAGGGTGAATCTTCCTCAGCAAAAAAAAAGAATCAAACTATGTCTTCTTTACAAGAGATATACTTAAAATATAATGATAGAGATAACTTGGAAGTAAAATGATGGAAAAAGATATGCCATGAAAATGCTAACTAATAGAAAGCTATTGTGGCCATCTCAATATCAGAAAAAGTAGGCTTAAGATAAGCAGTATTACTAGAGATACAGAGGGATATTTCATAATGATAAAAGGGTCTATTCTTCAAGAGAGCATAACAATCCTAAATGTGGATGCATCAAATAACATAGTTTTTAAAAAAGCATAAAGCAGGGCCGGCCCGGTGGCTTAGCGGTTAAGTGCGCGTGCTCTGCTGCTGGCGGCCCAGGTTCGGATCCCGGGCGTGCACCGACGCATCGCTTCTCCAGCCATGCTGAGGCCGCATCCCACACACAGCAACTAGAAGGATGTGCAACTATGACATACAACTATCTACTGGGGCTTTGCGGGGGGAAAAAAAAGGAGGAGGATTGGCAATAGATGTTAGCTCAGAGCCGGCCTTCCTCAGCAAAAAAAAAAAAAAAAGCATAAAGCAAAATTGACAGACTCTAAAGGACAGAAAGACAATTCCACAAATATATTTGAATACGATGGATAAATCAAGCAGACAAAAATCAATAAGAACATGAAAAAGTTGAACATTATTAATCAACCTGACTTACTTGACATTTACAAAACACTAAAACCAACAATTGCAGAATACATATTCTTTTCACATGTACATGGAACATTCACCAAGACAGAGTACATGTTGAGCCGTCAGACAAAATCAATAAAGTCAAAACAATTGAAGTCATACAGAGCATGTTCTCAGACCACACTGAAATTAAAATATAAATAAATAACAAAAAACCTAAAATATCCCCAATAGCGACATCCTTCTAAATAATCCATGAGTCTAAGAAGTCACAAGAAAAATTAGAAACTATCAACCAAGTGATAATAAAAACACACAAAAGTAATGCTTAGAGGGAAATGTATAGTTTTACATGCATTTATTATAAAGAAGAAAACATTTAAGTCAATGATATAAACTACCAACTCAAGATGCTAGAAAAAGAAAAGAAATGAAACCCAAAGAAAATAGAAGGAAATAACAAAAAAAATACGAATGGAAATCAATAAAATGGTCAAACAATAGAGAAAAGGCAATTAAACCAAAAGTTAGTTCTTTAAAATGATCAATAAAATTGATAAATCTCTAGCTACACTGATAAAGATAAAAAGAAGGAAAATACAAATTACCACAGTCAGGAATTTAAAAAGTAAAAACACTTTAAATTCTACAGGTATTAAAAAGATAATAAATATTGTGAACATCTCTATGCTAACAAATGTGATAACTAGAACATTATGGACAGATTTCTTGAAAAATTCAAGTTTCCAAAACAGACACGAAAAGAAATAGACTATCTGAATAGCTAAAGAACTTGAAATGGTAATAACACTATCTCACAAAGAAACTCCAGGCCTAAACACTTAAAGAAGCAGTAATATCAATCATGCACAAACTCTTTCAGAGCATAACAAAAGAGGGAATGCTCTCTAACTGATTTGATGAGGCCAGCATAACCAAACTTTTGGAAGAAAACATAGGAGAAAATCCTATGCGGTAGCAAACATTTCTAAGAACACAGAAAGCAATAGCCATAAAAGATAAAATTAATAAATTGAACTTCCTCAAAATTAAAATATTTTGCTCTTCAAAAGACGCTGTTAAGAAGATGAAAATGAAATGCTCAGAGTAGGAAAAAAATATTTACAACCATTCATCTGATAAAGGAGTCATATCCAGAAGTATTAGAGAATTACGTAAATTAGGGAATTGTAAATATTTTTAGACTTTGTATTTGGTTCCAGTTGCTGCCATAACAAATCACCTCAAACTTAGTGGCTTAAAACAACACAAATTTGTTATCTGGAAGTCAGAAGTTTAAACTCAAGATGTCAGCAGGGTTGTGTTCCTTTTGAAGTCTTAAAGGGAGAATCCATTTCCTAGCCTTTTTCAGCTTCTACAGGCTGTTTGCATTCCTCGGCTTGTGGCCCCTTCCTTGCATCATTCCAACCTCTTGCTTCCAAGGTCACGTCTTCCCACTACTGACTTGGACTCTCCTGCTTCTCTCTTATAAAGCCCCTTGTGATTATATTGGGCACCCCCAGAAAATCCAGGATAAATGAGGTTAATCACCTAAGGTAAATCACACCTGCGTAGTCCCTTTCACCAGGTAAAGTAACCTATTCACAGGTTGCAGGGATTCAAACATGGACATCTTTTAGGGCCATTATTCAGCCTGCCACAGATGTCATAATGGTATTGTGGTCATATAGGAAACTGTCATTAATTCTAAGAGATGCATATTGAATTATTTAGGAGTGAAATGTCATGATGTCTGTAAATTACTTTTAAATATTTCAAAGAAGCAATTGTGACAAAATCTTAATAATTGTTAAATCTGGATGGTAGGTATATGAGTGTTCATTAGATTCTTCTCTTTTTTTACTATTTGAAAAATTTCATAATAAATTTTTTAAGCTTAATGAAAAAAATATTGAAATGCCAGTCTAGGGTTTAGAAAGGTCACACACTAGCCTACAACTAGACAAGAGTGGAAACAAGAGATCAGTTAGATAGCAAGCTAGTTATTGTAATAGCTCTGTTAAAAAGAGTAGGGTGGTTTGAGCCAGGGCGATGGCAGTGGATGTGGAGAAAAGTGGATGGATGTGCAATGTATTTTGCTGGTCAAACCCATGTATGCTGAAGGTTTTTAGGAGCGTGAGGGTAAAGTGAGCCTCAAGGATAATAAAAACAGACTAAATACATTGAGTGTCTACTGTTCCGTCGCTGTTCATATCTAATCCTCACGACAAACCTATGAGGTAGGTTCAATTCGCACCCACATCTTACATGCAATCCGTTTCTCCAACCTCGGGGCTGGGAGTAGAGGCGGTAGTTCTTGGGACCTGGTTTAGGTGAAAAAGGAGCAGGCGCCTGGGGGATCGGGTGGGGTGGCTGTGGGGACGGAAAGGGGAAGGAGGAGTTGGGTAGGCGTCCGCAGGGGCAGGGCCCGCCCGCGATTGGCCGAGCTGCCTAGGGAGGGCTCTGCAGATCCAGCCTCGCTAGCGGACTAGGGGGAAGCAACAGCCCGGCTTAGCCCCCGCTACGGTCTCTACCTTCTCTGCGTCGTAGGCGGGTAGCGAGCGCGCCGAGCACGGGAGGATGCAGCGCCCGCTGTGGCCTGGGGGCTCCGGGGGGCTCCGGCTGCTGCTCTGCTTCCTGCTGCTGAACAGCCGCCCAGGGGGCTGCAGCGACATTAGTGGCCACGGTCAGGAGGAAACCTGGGGGGTGCGGGCAGGGCCAGAGAGCGATCCCGAGAGAAGTGGGTCAGGGGGCCTCAGGGTTAGCAACTTAGGAGGAAAAGAACGTGCTTGGGGGCGTGAAAAGGGATAAACGTAGAGGGCGTCTCGTAGAAAGAGGCGCAGGCTTGGGGTGGGGCTCCGCATATGGAATCTGGACCCAAGAGAAGGCGACTCAGGGGAGATTTGGGATTCGGGGGGAGGACGGGAAAACAAGTCGGCAGAGGGAAGTAAACAGGCCTGTGCGGCCACAGGAGAAGCAAGACGCGCCGAGGGGCCAGGGAAGAGATGCCCAGGGCTGAGGGATCGGCAGGGGATCAAGATCTCCGCACAGTAGGAGCAGGGACCGCGGGTATCCGGATCCCGGCTCCGGAGAGAGGCTGGGCCGAGAGACGAGACAGGACTTCATAAGCCCTCAGAGCCTGGTGTCTGCGATCCGATTTCCGATAAGAACGGGGAGGCGAGGCTGGGGTAAAAGAGGATGGAGGGGAAAGGGTCCATCCTTCTTCCTCCCGCTCCACTCTGCGCCATCGGGGAGACCAGCGCTGACTCAGGCCTGAGCAGCCAGAGCCCAACTGCGCAGACTCGAGGATTCCAGCGCCAGGCGCGTGGGAAACAGGGCGCAAACTCCTAGACTGACGCCAACCCTCCCCGCCCGATTCTTGGGTTCAGAGGCCAATGCAGAGGACTTGCCAAGAACTTGGAGGAGAACTGGTGGTGGATGACAGGAGGGGTCGGGGGGAAGGGCAGTAAGGCCTTGTGGGGATGCGTCTCCCTCTACCACCCAAAGCCGCCTCCATGCCAGGCTTCGGCCACCTCTCAGCACCACGGACAGCGCCAGGCACCCTGTGGGTCTGGCCGAGGTTGTCCAGGTCACCACTCTTTCTATTAGTCCAGGAGCGCCGCCTCAGCGAGAGATCTCCCCTTCCAGAAGCTCTTTGCCTTCTCAGTAGGATGCTGGAGGTTCTGCTCCTTCCTAAAGCCAGGAAATTGATGTTAGGATCCATTTGATTGAGGAGGAGAATTCCCTTTTCTGAAGGCCCATCCATAATGACTCATGGTAATTCCACTACAGAAAAACAGGGACTCTCCTCCAACCCTACCCCATCTGCCTGGAATAAGGAAGGTGCGGATAGCACTAGGGTTATCCTCCCCAGCCCCTCTCCTTCCTCTGCATACAGTTGGGCCAACTGCGGCTTTCAGGACAAGGATCCAGACACTCAAACCTTATACATACCAATACTTCTTCCTCTAAGGACTCCAGGCCTCCTCTCTAATCCCCTCCAGGCTTCAAAGCCTTCCCTGAGATACAGTTCACCTTCTTCCCATGCCCCACTTGTTCACCTGATTATCCATTCCATACGTGTAACTTTCTGAGTCTCTGGTTACCTGAACCTTCACAGGCTGCTCTTTACCTGTAAGCTTGGTTCTTACCTGGAAGTTGGTACCAAAGGTCAATGAGGTGCAGGGGCTGAAGAACAGGGCAGGTGGTGATGGGGGAAGGAAAAATGGAAAGAAGGAGGTCTTGAAAGGAGGAGTGGACCTGGTGAGGGGGACAGAGCCCAGGGAGCCCAAGGAGCCCAGGGGTGAGAGTGGAAGGAAGCTGCTTTTCTTCAACTGGGATTTGGAAGGCTGCTGGCCAAGCTCCTTGCTGATGCCACTATTTCACCCTTAGACAGTCAGGGCCAAGTGGGAGTGGGGCAACTCTGGCCCCTCCAAGGATTTGCCACCCCAGTCTTCCAGCACTTGCAAGTTATACTCCAGCAGATTGTGCCCCAAGGTAAGTAAGAGCTGGAGAAAAGAGGCTGGGGCCTGGTCAGATATGGGGTGGGGGACTGTTTGATCTGAGGACAGGCTTTCTTCTTCAAATGTCTTTACTTGAAACTTTCCTATGTTCACCTCATAGAGAAAAGGGGAGACAAGAGTGGGAGTGGAATCTGGGTGGGTGGGCTCTTTGCCCTTGAACACCCTGGAAGAGCCCAGCATAGGCTTCTAGAAGAAGCCCCTGGAAAAGGCCAGCATCCAACTCCTTGGGACTAACCCCAACCCTTGGTGCTATCTGAATTTTTTCAGAGCCAGGAATCCTTAAGTTCTCAGCCAGAAAAACACACAGACACACCCCTCAGCCTCTGAGTAGGAAGCAGAGCAAACCGTATGACAAATAGAGGGGAAGAACGAAAGGGAGTGGGGAGTCCCTTGGAGACAGATGGCTGACCCTTCCTTAGAGCAGAGTTTCATGAATGAGGAGAGAATTAGATAGGAAATCTGCCTTGAGCTCATACTACTACTACTACTGATGTCTAATATGGGTATAAGGCCTTATAGCAGTGGTTCTCAAAGTGCATCCCCGGGCCAGCAGCGTTAGCACCACCAAGTAACCTGTTAGAAGTGCTAATTCTTGAGCTTCACCCCAGACCTACTGAATCAGAAACTCTAGGGATGGGGAAGAGCAATCTGTGTCTTAATAAGCCTTGCAGGAGATTCTGACGCACACTAAAGTTTGGGAATCACCGCCTTAGAGTTTTCTAAGCACTCTTTACAACCCTAATCTCATTTAATCCTCATAATAGCATCAAATGAATCAGCAAAGAGAATATAATCTTAATACTAACTGAATATTTATTACATTCCATGCATGCCATGCATGTAGTTTATTGTGCTAAGCAACTTTCATACGCCATCTCATTTAATTCTCTCCAGAAATTGTGATCCTTTGTCTACCTGAGGGAGAGGGGGAGTGGTCTCTACTCTGGTCCCTGGGATGGGCCAGAGTGTCCCAGGTATCAATTCATTGCATCCTTTCACCCTGCAGGTTTGTTCTGGAAGGATGACATGACCCAGGCTGTGATGACCCAGAAGATGGAGCACATCAGCAGACTCAACCCCCAAGATCCATGTCTGAGGGATGGACAGGAAGCCTTTCCCACCAAAACCACTGGGGTGAGGTGTGTGAGGCCTGTGGTCAGTCCATGCTGTCTGGCGGACAGATAGAGCAGGGAGGGAATGGGTATTATCACTGCAGGTAAGAGCTGCCAGGAGCTCTGTGAGAACGATTGTGTGGGCCTGTCTGGGGTCCACAGGAAACAACTCCATGAGCCATTAGTGACGCTGCAAAGGGAGAGGAGCTGGGTGCTAGCAAGCATAGGTCCCATTTGTCATCCCTGTCTCTTCTAGGGGCAAGCAAGAGGACAAACTTCGGCTCCTATTCCCCAAGGTGAGACTCATATGTCTTCTCAAGAATTTTAAATCCCTGACTTTGGGTCCCCTCTCTTTCCCTCTGGGGCCCTGTGATCCTTGTCTGCCTCCTTCTTGACTCCTGGCTTCCCTCCTCACAGAGCCCAATGGCCAAGGTGAACAGGGATCAGTGCTTTACTTCCAAAGTTGTTTCCAAGGCCCTGAAACGAGAGGTGGCTAACCCTGTCAAGGTGAGGGGCTCTTCTTTACTAGGGCGGTTGGAATCCCCAAGGACCTGTTTAAATGAGGGAGGCTGGTATGAAGAAGGGGATGGGTATTGGGGTGTGAACAGAGAAGCTGAAGAAAAGTTCTTTCCTTTCTCAAAGGGTACCCCCACATTCCTGTCTCTTTCAGACTACCTGTGGGTCTCCATATGAGAGGCTGGGGGCACGATGCTGGTGCCCGGAGCCTCTGAGGACAAAATGGTCTATAGGATCATACATAGGCATTGATTTTAAAATAGACATTGAAAACTGCAGAGTTTTCAAAATTAAATAAAAGATCCTCCTTTTCTCTATACTCTCCCTTGTATACAGCAAGTGACAGCAAAACTCCTTTGGATACATGGGAGACGTGGCCCAGAGGCCTTCACATTCAGCACTCCCCTCACACACACACACATACACACACTCTACTTTGTGGCCCGAGCAAGTCACCTGGGAAAGGCTCTGACTTATCTCCCTGGGATGCTTGAACGTTTCAGAATCCAGATTGAAAACACCCATCTAGCACTCACATCTATCTTTATAGATGAGACACTGGGGCCCAGGCTGGTCAAGGGCCTTACTCAAGGCTGCATAACAGGTTCATGGCAGAGCCAAGACTGGCCCAAAGTCTCCTGATTCCCAGCCCTTCCCCCTCCTCTCAGGGCTGCAGTAGGGATTGGGCCATTCAAAGATCAGACTCCTCCACACTGACAAAAGTCTTTCCGGACTAAGACCTAACTTACAAGAAGGTGGCAGCTGGAGGAAGATATAAAGGAAGGGCATCCCAGGCAGAGAGCTCTACAAGGACAAATGCCCCAAGGCAAGGACATCGTGGCCTGTTAGAGGAACAGCGGGAAAGTTCCTCTTTGCGGTAGAAGATCAGGTTGGAGAAGTGGGCCCAGGACTGACCAGACAGGGGCTCATAGATCATGGCAAAAGGTTTGGATTTTATTCTTAGTGGCAAGTTAACTGGGAAATTTTAAGGAAGAGGATGTCATAATGTGACATACGATTTTAAAAGGCCACTCTAGTGATGTTGGGGAATGGATTGTGAGAAAAGCAAGAGTGAAAATCGAGAGGCCTGTAAGGAGCCGATCGTCTCGGTCTAGGGGGCACTGGGGTGGTGGCAGTGGAGCTAGCACCCCTAGCTGGCCGTGCACTCCATCCAGAGGCAGCCTGCACCTCAGGGGGCTTCCAGCCCCTCCTCTTCTCCTAGGAAACTGGTTCCCGTTCTGTAAGGTGGCAGCTGGGCTTCCTAAGCCTGGATTGGTTGCTGGGTCAATGCACTCAGAGCTAAGTGACAGGCCCACCTGTGAGGGACTGGTTGCCACGGTGCTTCCACGAATGCAAACAAGGTGCTGCCACTCTCCTCCAGCTCTGAGCCCACAGAGAAGTCACGGAGCGATGGTGAACTCTCTGCGGGAGCCAAGGGGAAAGGCACTCATTGGTGGGCTGAGTCACTGTGAACTTACTCAAAATGGGCTGTTACTGAAGCATTTTGGGAAGGAGAGTAGGTAAGGGAGGGGCCACCTCCCCACATGCTGATTCAAATCCTTTTTTCTTCTTGTTTTAGGGCTTCTTTGAGCCCCTCCCCACTGTGGGCCACAACCTTGTTGCTGACTGAGACCTCGTGTGAAGCCTCTCTGCCCCAGTGCCCTCCCCATTGCCCTCCAGAGGGGCAGTTCTAGAATGATCCAAATCTAGATCATTAAAGTGACTTTCCTGCAAACTCTCTCTGTGGCTTGTCTTGAAGCAGGGTGGGTGGGGTTTGGACCTGGCCAGAGCCTCTGAAGTGAGGGGGGTGGGACCAGAACAGGGGGTGAGGGCGAGGAGAGCACAGCTCCTCAGTGCTGATGGAAGGCTGGTTTCAGTCTTGTTTTCCTCCCAGTGACCATTCCTGAAGTGGGCGAAGTGAGGGTGGGACCCCAGCTGGAATGGCAGCCTTCCCTGCCCACACCCAGCCACGTTGTGTGGTCCAGTTGCCTAGCCTTCCATGTCAGGCAGGCCTGACCCTGCTGTTTTATGAGGGTCCCACCTCCAGCCTTATAGCCCCTGCCAGGTCTCTCCCACTCATCGTGCTCCCGAGAATCAACAGCGAAGTGCTGTGATCCAAGTGTACACACATTAAATATCTTGATGGCTCTTGCCAGTTTGCTCCTGGTGGCTTAAAATCTTAAAAGAGAGTGGGTAATCTGATCACCCATGCTTAGCCCAACTGAACACCAGAACATCCTATTTGCAGAGCTTTATACTTCACAAACTACTCTCATACTCATTGGATGCTCCCGGGTGTAAGCAGATGGGCAGGTACTAAGATTTTGTTTCTCTAAGGAATTGGGACTCAGCCACCCATTGAAGCAACCCAGAGAAATTAAATTCTAGTTCTTGATCTCACAGATTCTCAGTCAGCTGCTGTTCTTGCCCTCTCCTCTCTATTTGTTGAGTTCAAAGACATAGCTAAACCCAACACTAGACCAGCCATATTCATCTGCACCTAGTTCTCATTAAATCCATTAACCCCGCCACTCACCCACATTTCCCCATCATTCATTCTCCCGTTTTTTCTCTCTCATTTGCAAACATTTAGGAAACCCTGTGCTTCACTGTGCCTGGGTTCTATGAGTTTGTTTGGTTCTTGCCCTCAAACCCTTGAAGAGCAGTCAGGAAAGTTACCATAGAGACCATAGCTTCATTCAACAGGTATCCACAGGGAGTGGACGCAGTGGATGCTCTGCACCACATCTCCTGGCCCACACTTCCTTCCACCTTCAGCTGCAGGTGGACAGTTGGCACCCACTAACAGCTTTCCACCTCAAGCCCCAGGACTCTCTGCTTCTGGCCATGTGAATTTTCTGGAATACCAGGGGGACTCACCTACCTGTACTCCAGATGGCTCTGAAGTGCCTGACACTTAACACCCCCAGAGGCAACTCTCACCAGGTAAGGACTGAGTTTAGTGCAAAAATATCCCAGATTCCTCCAGCCCTTTGTGGACCATTCTGAGGAATGTTCAGTATGATCCTCAGATGGTCCTTAGTAAGATTCAGCTCAGTTGCCCACAGGGGTAACCTGTTCAACACCATGCTTAATATTATTAACTTTTCTTTCTTCTTTGGCTTACTTTCCCAATCATTTGTGATTTCTGGGATCACCTTCCACACAAACCACTTGCACCCAAGTTCTTGTCTCAGTCTGCTTTTGGGTCAACCCAAACTAAGCTTGCTATGTGCTGGATGCTCTTCTAGGCCCTGGGGATATAGCTGTGAATAAGAAAAGTGTTCATTGCCTTGGAGTTGGGTTATAAATCATTTCCTAACCCTCTGTTTATAGGGAAAAGTCCAAGCAATTTATCTGGTCCACAGAGCACTCAAAGTTCTCTCCACCCTCTCCAGTCCTACAGTGCTTTCCCCATTCTGCCATCCTATTTGCTTCAGAAATTTAGCCCTACTTGTATTTCCCAGAGTGTGCCCAGCTGGTTCATGTTCCTGGGCTCTTGTGTATGCAGGTCCCTCTGCCCACAAGTGTCCCATCCCCAAGATACCTTTTGGTCTATTCTGTGATTTTCCTAACATCTGTTTCACCCCCAGAGTAAAGTTGCAGAGGTTGGAAAGATAAAACTTAAGGGAAGTTTAATAATCTGATAATTCTGAAATACAGTGAATGGGGAGAAAAAGATGGGCATTTTTTAAAAAGGAAGGTAAATTTAATTCTCATTGCAGAGGAGCAGTTACATGATTTGGACCTTATTATTTGATAGAGAATGGGGAGCTACTGAAGGTTTGTTGAGCAAGGAAGTGACACAATGAAAGCTGTGCTTAAGAAGAACAATCTCACCTTTCTCTCTAAGGATGGGTTAGGGAGTGGAGAGGGGTGGAAACATTTTAGAAAGACTTGAAATGGTATGGGTGTGCCACACAAGGACTTGAACTTGAGGGAAAGAGGACATGTAGGAGAGATATTTTGAAGGATGCATTTGTAGGCCTTGGCAACTCTTATGGGTTGAATCCTGTCCTCTAAAAATTCGTATGTTGTAGTCCCAATCTCCGATACCTCAGAATGTGACCTTATTTGGCAACAGGCGTGTTGCAGATGTAATTAGTTAAGATGGGGTCATTAGGGTGGCCCTAATCCAGTAGACCAGTATCCTTATAAAAAGGAGAAGTTTGGAGACAGGCATGCATAGAGGGAAAACAATGTGAAGGGAGACAGGGAGAAGATGGCCATCTATAAACCAGAGAGAGAGGCCTGGAACAGATCCTTCCCTCACAGCCCTCAGAAGGAACCAACCCTGCTGACACTTTGATTTTGAACTTCTAGCCTCCAGAACTGTGAATGATAAATTTCTGTTGGTTAAGCTCCCCAGTTTGTGGTACTTTGTTACAGCAGCCCTGGGGAACTAACACAGACGACTGGGTTTTGTTGGGGGAGGATCCGTACCTGAATTTAGAGATGTTCTGGCTGAGTGAACAGCGATGCCACTCAGAGCAGGGACGTCTGGAGGACTGACTGGAGGAGGAAAATGGGTGTACTATTACGGGTTAAAGCCAGAAGCTCATTCAAGGACATCACAACAGCAGTTTGCACCTCCATCACTACTTTTTCCCTGGATGCCTGATTCTTTTCATCAACATATAAGTATGCTGCGATATCACCTATATTAAATTTTTTTCTCCATTTCTGCTTCTGGTAACGGTGCCCTAGGTAATTCATACTATCCTACCTGCTGAAGACAACTTGACTTGGTCTGATTGCTCCCAAAATTAAAGCCTGAAATAAAGACTTTCGTGGAGGTCATTTAGTTTGGGACAAGCTTGAAAGATGAAGAGTGGGAGAATGGCAAGAGCAAAACAGAGGGCTTGGAAAGCTAACTGAAGGGCTCCTTAATGAGTTATGGGCAACTGAGGTCAGTTCTTCTGGGGAGTCTCAGGCATCACATATAATGCACCTCAGAATTGTCCTCTGAGATAAAGAAAAGGAAAGTATTTATCCTATGGGCCCACCCCCCACTGGGTCAAGGGTTGCACTATGGGATGCTAATTTCCTCATACTTCCAGGTTTTCCATGCATGAGAATGTCTGAGCAGATTCCCATGGGTATCTAATGGTAGCAGAGAACACCCAGGCCAAAAAGAAAAGTTAAGCAGTGCAGGTGAGTCAGACGGTGTCAGATTACACCTGCGTGTAGCTGGTGGCTGCAGTGATGGCAGGAGTTCAAAGGTAACCTAAGATGAGGCAAGATGGGGCAATAGGTGGTGCCTGGTATACCTTAAAAAGCTGGATGAAACATTACCGAAAACCTTCTAAAAAGCATCAAGGAGCCAGCAAGAGAGTGAGAAGTAACTGACTTAAGTCAAGATCCAGGAGAGCAACAGAATCCAGAGACGGTAAACTCAATGTTCAGGGTTGCTCTGGACTGGGGAGATTTTTCATTTTAAGAAGCAAATGAAAGGCTGATTTAGACAGCCTGCAGAGCTAGAGGAGTAGATGTCGGTGTCCAGGGCCTATGACACGAAGAACTCTAGAAAACTGCTCTCTCTTTTGGTCTGGGACCAAGAAGCAAACTCTAGGAATAAGGATAAAATGGAAATAAATCAACTCTTCCTCAGATTGCAGCACGTCCTTGAAATTGGATTAAGGTTATATCAGATTGCTAGTGCTTTTAGGCCCCTGCAGAAGCAAATGGAAATTCTCTAAGACCTTAAATTATTTCTAAAAATAATTTTTCAAATACTCAACGCTCTGCACAATAGATAACAGAAACAGACCCACAGTGATTCCGATGATCGCAATGCAAAACAACTGTGCTTACTATGTTCAAGCATGTAAAGCCAAACTGTAATTTTGGACAGGGAACTAGAAACCACAGAAAGTAATACAGAAGATTTTTAAAAGAACGAATCATATCAAAATACACGAGGCAAAAAACTGATAGAACTGAAAGGAGTAATAGAAAAATGTGCTTTTATAATTGGAGACTTCAACACTCCTCTGTCAGTAATTGATAGATCAAGCAGCTAGATCAGTAAGGCTGTAGATGAACTGAACAGAACAATCATTCAACCTGACCTAATTGACGTTTAGAATACACCATTACACATTCTTCTCAAGCTCACATACAATTTTCATCAAGATAGACCACCACAAAACACACCTTAACAGATTTAAAAGAATAGAAATTATACAGAGTACATTCTCAGAGTGCAATGAAATTAAACTAGAAATCAATAACAGAAAGATAGCTGGAAAATCCCCAAGTATCTGGAAAACAACATCTTTCTAAATAATTCATGGGCCAAAGAAGAAATCTCAAGGGAAATTTTAAAATATCTTGAACTAAACAAAAATGAAAATATAATTTATCACAATTTGTGGCATGCAGCAAAAGCAGTGCTTAGAAGGAGATTTATAGCAATGAAAGCATATATTAGAAAATAAGAATGATATAAAATCAACAAATTAAGTTCACACTTTAGGAAACTAGAGAAAGAAGAGCAATTTAAGCTTAAAGTAAGCAGAAGAAAATAAATAAAAATTAGAGCAGAAATCAATGAAATCAATAAAATCAAAAATGGGAAAATAATAGAGAAAAATCAATGAAACTCAACACTGGTCCTTTGAAAAGAGAAAAAAATCAAATACAAATTCTAAAACTTAAAAATACAAGAACCAAAGTTTTAAATTAATTGAATGGGTTTAATGGCTGATTAGAAATAGCTGAAACAGAATT